TTCGTTAATTAATTTGGCTAAAATTTGGGAAAAACCTTTTCTAAGCAGCTTTTCAGGCTTGCTTAGAGCTGCGGACTATGAATACCGGCTTAACTCAATCCCTTCGAGAATCCGAGGAGACTATATATATGTATATATATGTATATATATATAATCTGCAGCTATTTTTTTCCCCTGAAACCAATCCTCTTATGTCCATTTCTATCAATGCAGATTAACTTTAATCTTGGGTTAACTTCCCAGCAAACACAGAATACACCGAGTGCGTAATTTGCTATCAAATTGTACCAGACTAGAGTCAAGCTCAACAGGGTCTTCTTTCCCCGCTAATTTTTCCAAGCCCGTTCCCTTGGCAGTGGTTTCGCTAGATAGTAGATAGTAGATAATTTGCTATCAAATTGCGCACTCGGTGTATTCTGTGTTTGCTGGGTTACTGTTTATCTTTGTCTAGTTCTAAGAATTAGAAAAAAATAAGAAGTAAGTTAAAATCGTGATTAAAGTTATATAATCTGCATTGGTAAAAATGAATGTTAGACTTTTTGCAACGGACAAATTCGAATTCTCGCTTCTTCGAACGTTATTTCCCCGTTTTCCGCGTTTGTTGGAGAACGTGGTGGAGAACGACGGAATCGAATTTCCATCTAGCAGAAAGACGTTCGCATTTACGACACCGCGTTACTTCGGCCTACGTATAGCGATTTTTCATATATTTTACTATATTACGTACTTCATCAGGGCTGAGAGAGAACACAGTTAACTAATAAACACACACATACACACACAGAGACACGTACACAAAAAGAGAAAAAACGAAAAAAAGAAAAAGTATGTATATCTTATACATATATACATATACATGAATAGCGTGTAATAAGCATAATACTTTATGTCACATGTATACAACCGTGTTGACGTTGACGGAGCATAGTGATTCTTAAACGAGAGCCCGGCGGACCACGAGATCCCGTTGAGCGTCGCATTCTCCAACCCGATTCCGAGTTCGACGGCGGTCTCGACGGCGGTCGCGCTCGTTACGAAAGGTGTTTTGTAATTGTGACGGGGCGAACGGATTCTTTGAAAAAACAAAAGCAAATAAAAGATTTTTAACTGACTGCAACGAAGACGATCACAACAAACTTGGTTATTTTCCGCTTTTCTTCCTGTTATGACGATTATTTTATCATATGTTGAGTACACCGTTACGCGCGTTTTGACGCAACAACATAAGGGAGACCGGGGCTAAACCGCCAGCGGGGTTGAACCGCCAAATCAAATATCTCGGAACCTGTATATTGTGCGAACTCGCTATTAACATTGTAAATGCTGCTTATGGTACCCATGTAACCAACGGAGTTTCGGCAGGTTACCTGCCGTGTTATGATTTTTACGAGGGCAAACGTGTTTTCGGAAGGTGAAAGTGAAATTTTCTGCGCGTGAAAATATTGTAATAGCGGCAATAATATTTGCTCTCCAAATCTCGAGGTACGTGATTATAAGAAGTAATGCATGCTGAACACGAATCCAGTGTAGTTTTTTCATTATCGTTTATGCCTAATATTTCGTGGGCGATCAAACCTGAAACTTATGTTTGGGGCTTATCCGCCAGTAAGCACCCGGGGCTGGTCCGCCAGTCTCGTCACTGTGGCGCGCCGGGCGCACGACTTCAGCTCACGGCGATTTCAGGTTAGGTTTCCTTCGAGCGTGATTCTGTCTTCCCTTGCACGTGCGTCAGTTTGTATAGGAGGGAAATAGTACGCACGTATCGTCGCAAAGCGGGTGTTTTGGCCGACCGAAAAGATGGCGGACGGTCGTTTTCGAGATCGCTCGCGTTCACGGCACGTCGGCGAGGTACGGCGAGGCACGGCACGGCTCTGAGATTCCGCGATTTCCGCGCGAGAGTTGACATGCCGCGCGCGAGGTAGATCGTCCCGGCCGCGGTAGATCGTCGTTGTTGGGTCGTTGTGTCAGTGTCAGTGTAGTGGTGGTGGTGGTCGCCGTCGTCGTCGTCGTCGTCGTGGTGGTGGTGGTGGTCGTGACCGTCATTGTCGTCGTCGTCGTCGTCGTGGTGGTGGTGGTGGTCGTGGCCGTCGCACGTCATCATCGTCGTCGTGCGCTCGTCAGGATCTGTATTCACGTGCCTAAATTGTTTTATGGAATGGTAAAACAATTATTTTTTAATAACGTTTTGCATAAAAATTTATAATAAATTTTTATATTTTTCTCTTAAAAAACAATTATTAAAATGTATCCTATCATTTTTCAGGATTAGATGTACCTATATGTATTGAAAATGCAGTGTGGCGGATTAGCCCCGGAGGGGGTGGCGGTTCAACCCTGGCATTTTTGAGATTTCAATTTTTGCACCGTTGTCGTTTTTGCTCCATACCGGTTAAACAAAGCGACGTAGATAAAAATTTCCTAAATAAATTTTGTAGCTAAAGGTTCACTCTTTACAGTGGTATACAATATTTAACTTAAATTATTTATTTTGTTGTTAAAAATCGGCACCGAAAAAAAAACTGGCGGTTTAGCCCCGGTTTCCCCTACTTGAAAAAAATCGGGATTTTTTATTGTATGCGAAATTATCATCTATATATATAAAACAAAGTCGGGTTAGTTACATCATTTATAACTCAAGAACGGCTGGACAGATTTTTTACCACAAGTATATACAATAGGGATAGAATTTTCCGGGGAGTGCTATAGAGTGTGTAGTTTTTCGTTACCGATTTTCTGGAAACCGATTTTTTTAATTCTTAAAAAGAGGGAGGGGAGAGGGAGAAAGTGAGAGGAAAGAAAGAGAGGGAGAGAGAGGGAGAGAGAGAGGGAAAGGGGGGAGGGAGAGAGAGAGAGAGAGAGAGAGAGAGAGAGAG